GGACTCCAGGATCATGACCTGAGCCGAAGGCAGTCGCTTAACCAACTGAGCCACCCAGGCGCCCGCTTCAATGGTTTTAAACCGTGTGCAATTCTTGGGTTGAAAATCAAAACTCCAGGGCGCCTGGTTGGCTCAGTCGGTGGAGCGTGTGACTCTTGATCTCGGGGTCGCGAGTTCGAGCCCTGCGTTGGGTGCAGAGATGGCTTAAAGAAGTTCCACCGAGTAAGTGTGAAGACCTAATTGGCTTTGTTAAGCAATTCATGACTCTGGCAACATCCCATCCAGCAAGAGGAGATATGCTCTCAGGCATAGTGCAAAATGGGAGATTTTTATAGGAAGGATGGTGGGACGAGGAAATTATTAGCAAAGGACAAGCGAGGATTGTTCCAGGCAAGGTCACCTTCCCTTAGGGGAAGGGCAGCGGGTCTCATTAGGTGGGTCACCTCATCTTCCTTTGGCGGGGGCTGAGGGGCCCTCGTGACAGATTACATCACTGATGCTGACCTGGAAATTCCTGACTGACTGTTAAGACAGCTTTTGGGGGAGGCTGGAGGCGCAGTTAGGTTACGTATGAAGCCCTGGTTTGCTGACTTGGCCTGAGTGATTCCATCTGTGGCCTATGGCCTTCTTTCTAACGCTTGCTCCATCTGCTCCCAGCAGGCGACGCAAGTGGATGCTGGCCTGGCTGGCCCCGGGAGCTGGGCAGGACACGTCCAGAGGCCTCCTGTGGGAGCATCCTGGCTCTTAAACTTTGGGGCGTCTTACTGGTTTTCACGTTGGCCCAGCAGATCCCTGCCTGGTCTTTGGGACTGTGGTTCCCTCCGTTTTGTGCCCATTTCCCTGATTTGGAAGCCTTGAGCCCTGGAGGAGAGAGGGATGGCCCTCTGGGTGCGGTTGTGAGCGTGGGCTCTGGCGTGGGAGCTCCCCGACATTGCCTGGCGTTGGCTTACCTCCGAGACACTGTATTAGTGAGTTAGAAACAGAAGAGGTACCAAACGCGGGCACGGCCCCCACTCAGAGGCAGATCCCACAGGCACCCGACTCCATGACCCCCCGGGAGGCAGGTGGCATTAACCCGAGTGTGACTTTTGCTCACGGCATGCAGGATGTGCCGTCTCCTGGCTGCACATTGCAGTCTTCAGACCTGGTTTTTCCTTTTTCTCTAGAGGTCTGCGCTAATCCCGAGCCTTTTAGGAGCACTGAGAAGGTGAGCCGTCCTCCGGGTGCGCTGACACGTGGGAAAGAAGATGCAGGACTGGAGCATCCACCCCCGCTGGTGTCCTGGGACAAGGTATTCCTGAGAGCCAGCCACCTCCGTACATGGGGAGCTCGGGCTTTGCTTCCAGAAACCGCATGTGTGTCCCTTTACTAAGGCTGGACTGGCTGGACGTAGGAGCAAATGTATCTGTGCGTGGCCGTCGGAACGGCTGCCAGAGGTGGGGCGGTGGAAGGCGGGACAGGTGGTCTCCAGGGTGTGAGGCAGTGTTTGAGCCCGCTGCGGTGGGTGAACAGTGCGTCGTGGCCCAGAACAGAGCTGCCCGTGCGTGACCCTCTTCTGCTAAGGACAAGCTCTGACTGAGTGGATGGCGCAGTCCGCCCAGATCGTGTGTTTCTTGTCCTGACGTGAAGGAGCCAGTCCTGCAGGTGCTCTCGGAACCTCCGCACCCCCTGGCAGAGATTATCCTGCAGCTCAGCTTCCAGTGCTCCTAGTGGGGGCCCCC